CCAGTAGCCTTGGCTACGGGCACTTTTAGAAATAAACGACTCCTGGTCTGTTTGCTGCTCCGAAACCTGCTGCTCTGCTTGCACTTTGCTGCCCTCCTGCAGCTCAGGCCACGGGTGCCGCGTTGGGGCCACGCACCGGCACGGATGCGGGATGAGGACAAGCGCTTGCAGGAACGCTGCAGCCCAGCCCTTTCGCGCTTAACGCTAGAGGATGAGTCCTCACCTTGGCCCCATCGCAGCAAGACTCGGTGCCTGTTCCTGGTCCTTTCCTCCCGCCCGGGGACCGGGGCGAATGAAGCGCTGCTCGCCTGCCCGGAGCGTGCAGCGGGAGGACGGGGTACGCGTCCCCGCGGTCATCCCTGCCGGGCTGCTGCGGGCAGTGGGACGGCTGAGCTCTTCCCGCTGCGCCATGGGTGCTGGTCCAGCTGCATGAAAAAGGATTAGCCGGTCTGGGCTGCTCAGAGAAAGGGAGAGAGGCTCTGATCCTATTTGATAGCCTTGTAATGGTCTTAATTCCCTCTTGCATTAAGGGAAGAGATGAGAAGGCAGCCGCGTGCCTGGTGTTAACAGGGCTGATCCAGGCAGACATCCTCTGGCCTATTCCTCAGTGCCCAGCCAGCACACGTGCTCACAGCCCTTCGGCAAAACATTAGGGGGAATTTCCTCATTGACAAGATATTCCCCTTTTGGAGAAACTGAAGCCCAGAACAACCCCAATTAAATGAGCACAGGGCAAGGAGGAATCCAGCTCCAGCAGCACCATCACCGAGGGCTGGGTGGAAAGATGCAAGGAAGAGGAGCTTCCCCCGGGGTGAGGATGCAGAGAGACTTGTTCCAGCCTGTGCTGCCCCATTAAAAGCCAGTCCCACTGCCCTGATGGCTCATTTATCTGATTTCCCTTAAGCGCGTGCAGGAAGCAGCCAGGGGCTGAGCGCCCGGGGAGGCGTTTGCAGCAGGCGGTGGTTGCTAGGGCTGGGGTTGGCTGCACTCAGACATGCAGACGGTTCCTCCCTGGAGATCTGCCCAGACGTGACCCTCTCAGGCTGGGACAATGACAGATAGACTAGCCGAGAGCAGCAGACAGATCCACAGGCACTGGAGTTGGGCAACATCAAATAAAATAAGAGCGCTCCCCCCATCTTCTTCTCCCCAGAATTATTTTACCCTTCGTTTCTTCACTTTTTTTTTTTGAATATGGGCCTTACTCCACAAGGGGCCCTGCTCAGGCTCCCAGCAGAAAGGGGAACAGCTGGGGCCAAGGGGCTGTTTTGTGCTGCAGAGGCTGGATCCAGGCTCCACGGGCACCAGGAGCCCCTGCAGTGCCCAGCCTCTGCCCTGCATTGCCCCCACGTCACACCTACCTCCAGTGCTGCTGCGCACTGCTCGGTGAGAGGCCTAAGGCTGTGGAAGAGGTTTTGACTGTAGCAACGGTGCCTGGAGGTCTCCCTTCGTGTCCCAGCAGGGAGGAAGGTGGTGATACTTGCCTTCCTACATCACTTGGATCCCAAATGAGATCCCCGTCCTGTCTCTCCTGCCTGCCTCAGGCCATGCTGTGGAGCCCAGACCAACCCAGCTGGATGAACATACCCCAAACTCCACCCTGCGCAGGGAAGCTCAAAAGCCAAAGGTAGATGTGTCAGCCGCAGCTGGCAGGATTTGGAGGCAGCTGGTCCAGGGAAGGAGGACAGGCACCACACAGTGCAAGAGGGATGTTCTCCAGCTCTGCAAGTCTCAGCCTTGGTGCCTCAGCTTGCCTGGGGATGAAGCCAGGACCTCAGCTCGGTGCTGCTTTGCAGGGAGCACCAAGAGTGGCAGCAGGGAGGTTACTGGAAGGGCTGTATCTGCCCTCACTGCTGACACCTTCCTATCCTGCAAGAAGCATAAAATGGCAAAGCATTGCAGTCTTGCATCCACACTAGACCTGAAACGCAGCTGAAAGCACTGAAAGCCCCAAGGGCTGAGCAGGGCTGAAACGTAGCCAGGACCCCCAACTTCGGGGGAGCCGCCGGGCGCTGCTTTGCAGGGAGCACCAAGAGTGGCAGCAGGGAGGTTACTGGAAGGGCTGTATCTGCCCTCACTGCTGACACCTTCCTATCCTGCAAGAAGCATAAAATGGCAAAGCATTGCAGTCTTGCATCCACACTAGACCTGAAACGCAGCTGAAAGCACTGAAAGCCCCAAGGGCTGAGCAGGGCTGAAACGTAGCCAGGACCCCCAACTTCTGGGGAGCCGCCGGGCCGTGCCTGAGCCGACAGTGCCACCTGCTGCCATTGCCGCCCGTCCCCGTCCTGCACTGCGGCACTGGGGATGGGGACAGCGCCGGCCTTCCCGGGGGCAACTGTGGGCTTTGAACCAGCTGCAGAGCTCCTTCCCGTCACTCAGGCTTCCCCCTACTTCCACATGAAGCCACGTGTGACCCAGGGCACTGCGGAGAGAGCTCTGCGCACAAGGGACCTGCACGGCTCAGTGCTCCTGAGGGCAAGCTTGGCAAAGCCTGGCAGTGCAGATGAAATCCTGGTCCCTTGCTTGCTGCCAAAGGGAGAAATGCAGCAGCTTTAATCCCCGGATAAATCCACCTAGGTGTGCCAGGCCCTCTCTCTTATGAGCAAAGTATAATAGGAGATACCCTCAGAGAGAGCCTGCAAAGTCAATTAAATTTTTTATTAAATATACATCCTCTCTTGGCACAAATCTTAAAATATATAAACATTATATAACAAAGTGTCTTCACTGCAATAAAATAGAACTCCAGATCCAAGAAAAGCAGTCAAAATTGACACACATACACACACACATTGATGGTGAGGACACATCTTGACAAAAGGCATTTAACAGTGTTTGTGCTAACATATGCATAGACCACACAGGCAGTGAACAGTGCTGGGAATCCCTGCATCACACGGCATCGAAGGCAGAAACAGGGGTTGCGGGAGGAATCAGCCCTGACAATGAAAAGGCTGTTTTGTAGGAAGGCCACCTCCTTTTCTGGGTCCGTACAGTCCACCTTAGCTCTCTGCAGAGTCAAAGTACCCAGCCAGATGTCGCAGAAACGTCAGGGGAAGCAACCACACCGCTTTCCTCTCCTACTGCCCACCCCCGACTGGCCCCAGCAGACATGCTCAGGGTTGCCACAGTGCTTCTGCTGAAAGTTTCCTTTTACACCTCACCTGCATTTGTTTTAAAGACACCACGGGGTGAAGATGGTGGCGCCCAAGTCCTTCTAGGCCAAAGGCTATAAGGAGAAGTTCACAGAAGTACCATCATTTTTCCACAGAAACTATGAAGCTCTGCTTTTGAAGAGCTACCATGGAGTACCAAGGGATATTCCAACCTACACTACACTACCCATCCCGTGGCTTTCAGTGACTTTACGTCTTGGGAGCTTGCAACTCCTCAATTGATCTTTCCACCGTGGTCCTGCCAACACCAACCAGCCTGCTCCTCAGTGGCCCTGTATTCCTGGAGAACAGGCAGAGGTAGCATAGGGCATGCAGGGCAAAGGGGGTTGCGAGAAGCCAGCTCGGGTCCCACTTCTCCCGTTCCTTAAGTACTCTCAGTGTCATCCTGAAGGACCAGCTCCCCCAGAGTTATCCACCCAGTAAGTACCACTTTCACAGAGCACAGTGGGCATTGCATGGAGGTACTGAGAGAAGATCACAAGCAGCAGCAGCATCTCACAACATGCAGAAAAGGGAAGGTGCTAGACTGGATAAGTCATTCAAGAACCTTTCAAAAAACCTTTTGTTCCAGCATCTAATGCCTTTAACTTCTTGCCCCCAAACACAAACATCATCACCCTTGAGTAAGAAGCCTAGGCAGGCTGTTTCAAGAACAGCTATCAAAGCTGCCCTTTTGTCATTTTGGATGCATTTCATTGGACCTGATTTTCTTGAAGTGCTAGTGCGGGACTAAAGGTGCAGAAGCAGAGAGGGAGGGAGAGTAGACAAGAAAGAAGCACAAGTTAATGTTTGGCTGCTAATGCATTAAAGAACAACGAGACGCATGACTTCAAAATAAAAGCAAGAAATTTCAGAATAGTAAAATGAAAAACTGGGGAATTTAGGAAAGTAAAAAAAATTCTAAAGAAAAAAAAGAACTAGAGAAGATTCCTGCTAGACTTGCCTTCTTTCTTGTAGCTAAAGGCCATTGACCTTCTTGGCCAGCACACAGGCACCCTCCCTTTCCAATCAGCGTGCCCAAAACTCCTTGGGCACTTGTTCCAGGCAGCAGGGAGATGTGGAACACATCTCAATTCATGCAAGGATTAAGAGAAGGGAAGAGAACACTCTGTTTCTCCTCTCCCACATTCAAATCAAAGGGGAAAAAAAAAAGAGCTATTTGAAACACCCCAAAACAAAGACACACAGTTACTCTAAACTTTTGCCCAAGAAACAAGAGCACCAAAATCCTTGCAGACTGAATTCAGATCTGTCTCTGAACAAGCACTTAGCCTGCAAAGTCTGGAAAAACATGTTTGGCTAGAATTCCACTGAAGTAAAATCAGGTGCAGCTGCTAATTAAGGTACAACTTCTCTGGGGCAAACGCTTCCAAGCCTGCCATACTTCAAGTCTCCTTTCTCAGCCTCCACCACGCTCTGACTGCAAAGCGGGTGATGCCAGAAGGCTCTCCCCAGGGTCACCCAGCAGAAGCTGCATCCTCCGCAGGCTTCGTGTTCATTATAATACATTAGCTGCACTCCTGACACAGCCGAAGGTACTCTGTGCAGATCTGCCCTCCCGTTCAGTTCCAAACGGGAGGCTAGTCATCCAGTGTAAAACCTTTCTCAGTCAGGACCTAGGAGGAATTAAGCCACCTCTGTTGCCACAGGGGTTCAGTGATGCTCGACGTAAGACAAGGTCTGTTGCACCTGCCTCTGAGCTGACCTACCACGTGGCAGAGCAAAAGAGCCCCTCTACCTCAGTTGCCACAGTTCAGCTTCCTCTCAGGTTCACATTGTACCCACCAGCTACTCGGAAAGGACTGCTCTTCACACCGGCAGCCTCCAAGCTGAGAGAGAACTTGGCATGGATTGCACACAGTCGGACACACATACGCACACGTACACACAGAGTCAACTGCTGACACTCCCAGCTGTTGGTTTGTACCTCACTTTCGTGGTAAGACGCAACTGTCTTAATATCTCCTCACTGGGCCAAACGTCACAAAGACAAGAGCAGAAGTAATTGGCTTCTCCATTGGAGAAAAGAAACAAAAATCAGAGCTCTTGCAAAGGACTAAAAAATTCACCCATATGAAAAGAACAGCTGATAATCTTCCATTAGCAATGGGAGCACAAAGTTTACAGAATTTGTGGCTATCATCTATACAGACCTATAAAAGACAACACCTAACGTTTCTTTAACTACAAGGTAAATCAGTGATTGCAGTCAAGTTTCACAACGGAAATAATCATTTGTGGGCTTAGAGGCAGAAATTACTGAGGTTAATACCTGCCCATCCACAACCATTAAAGTATGATTGATCCCATGTGTTCTGGGAACAACATGCATGCTAATACTTCAGTACGCTGGCTCTCTACCGTGTCCGCAAAATGGAAATGTAGGTGCTTAATTCCTAGGGAAATATTTGGCATTAGAAGCAAGTTATGCTCCAGAGAACAAGTGCAAAGACAAAAGAAAGGAGAAAGCTATTTCTACCAATTGTGCAATTACCTTCATTCCCATTAATAAAGTCATGATACAAGGCTCAAACTACAACGGCTAAAGTATATACACCAGAGAAGGATAGCTTTTAAATCCTACCTTATTTTTCTTTTATATGTCATTTCCCTTCTATATAGATTCTATCAGCTGGAAAGGGATTTTAACCTTGGCTTGTGGAATCTGATCCTTAGAGAAGTCTACAGTTTGTTTTGACCTCTCTTGTCCTCCAAATTTAATATAGGAATGGAAACATAAAACAAAACCCCCCTCAAATCTTCATTTCCCTAAAGATTATTGACTTAAAAGAGAAACACTGAAAGGCTACCATTCATTTGCAAATTGTAACTGGAGATGATTGGCACTACATATTAGTTCAGAAGAGCCCATTCTCCTGAGGACACTGTTGGTCCAGAAGAACTCTAAGAATAAAAGCAAGTGGGCTTAGGTGTGGACTAATATACAGAGGTGATACGACCTACACAGCAGGACCCAAAAGACAACAACGTTGTTCGGAAGCACGGGCAGCAGCTTTAGTCAACTACTACGCTGCGTTCATCAGACATGAATAGCCTTTCAAAATAGATAAGTCTGCATCACACGTGCATCTTTGAGTTGTTCATTCTTGAGTTGCAGATAAAGCAGCAACAATAATACTGAAGGAAATAATTGCTTAAAATTGAAGTATATAACACCTCCTCTTCTAGTCTAGGGCACCATCATTACAAACTGCCAAATCCCTCAGAAAATGCTGCCTTTAAGACCATGACAACAACGGAGGGTTCAGATGGCCCAAAAGCACTACTGCAGTTTGATTCAATCCAGTTTGTGAACCCAGGCACAGTCCCTCATCAACACTGACAACAGACATGAGAATTTGATCTACAAAACTGCTCAGAACTTTCCTCTCCTGCTGTCTGTAGTCTTTGGTCATCTCAGAGGGACACTGGACACAAGGGATATTTTATGCAATTCAACCCAGAAATAAAAAGAACATTTGAAAAAGGGCAGCATTTCCAGCCAGAGCTCACAATCAGCTTTCAGAGTAAAAGAAGTGACCTGGAGCTGTTAAATCCTGCTGCGTCCTGTTTTAAGGAGATCAATGCTTACAGGTCAGAGGAATGCGGAATTCCCTGTGCAGATTAACTGGAATATTGCACTTGGCAGACTGCCTCCAGCTAACACATGTGCAGTAACTAAGAACTGCCTACCGAGAGCAGCAGTCACTTTCCAGATTCAGGGGCCCATTTGAACAGCACCGAGTCTTCTCCTTCATCATCTACCACTCCATCTGCCCACAGAAACCAGGTGAGGAGCCAGAAGCAGCATGTGTTTGTTCGAGAGGCTCCACTCCTGGTATCAAACAGCAAAACAGAAGGATGAGGCAGTCACTCTAGAGGACACAGTTCTGCAGAACTGTGAGAAGAATTTCAGTTAGGAAAGGGTTAGTTTCAGGTTGAGGTTTCCAAACAACTCAGAGGCTTGTTAAAAAGGAAAAATCCAACAACAACAAAAGAAAAAAAAAATCCAAGAAAGGTAAGTTCTCAGCTGCAGGAGAGCATGAACCAAGCGAGGGAACGCTAGCATTGCTCTTTCTACATGTATGTTGTACTTCTCCCCAGCAAGGGCTGTGGGGATTAAGCTACCTTTCAATGTTAGTGCTGTGCTGTAATTTACGGAGAAGGATCTGCATCAGGTCAAAGGTTGTAAAGCTTATTCCCACTGCAATCGGCCCTTTGACCCAGTTCATGCTGAGTCCTTTGTACAAGCCACGGATTAGTCCCTCTTCTCTTATAATCTCCTGCATGGTGAGAAGGATGGAGCTATACGTGTGTCCCATAACGCCTGCCGTCTGCATTCGTCGGCGAACCACGTCCAGGGGGTAGGAAGCCGACTGGCCGATCAAGCCTGCGCAGGCACCAAACAAAAGCCGCTCTGGAGGGGATGGCTGAGATTTCCCACTGTGATCTGGGAAAGAGAAAGTGGCAGAGTAGAGAAAGCTTCTCGTAATAAACACATGATTAAGGTCAAGTGGGCTGAGAGCCAAAGAGAGGACTGAGTGTCAGAACTCCTGAGATTCTGTTCCCAACTCGGTTGTTGGCTGAGCAAGCGTGTAAAGAAGTCCTTCCACACCAAGGTGTTCCCCTGCAAGACAAAGACGCTGCTTTTCTGCAGCTTACCTTCTTCAAAGTCTGGAACTGGAGAGAGGGAGGCCCAAAGCATCTTCCACAAGCACTGTACTTAGCAACTGGCTTTAAGGCCAGGAAAAGGTCTTGTACCACAGAGCCCCAAGCATCTCAGATTGACCAAAAGCCTACGCCACGTCACTCGAAAGCAAAGAAAACAAAGTTGCCTTTACCTGCATGTAGTTTCTTCAGTGTCTCATAGGTGAAGAAACTAAGCCCAGCATACGGAATCACTCCAAGGATGGTTGGCGTGAATCCTCTGTATAATGTCTTCAATCCCTCCTCTCGGGATATTCGGATGAAGACATGAACGATATTGCTGTACCTAGCACCAGGACAGAGGAAAACAAAACCTGTACCGTTTAGTGACTGCACACACTGGTAACACTTTGAACAGGACTCTGGAAGATCAGCAATTATTTAATTTGTCTCTGAGCACATCAAACAGCTCAGAAGGGATTTAAGAAGCCTGTCTGCAAATGGAGAAGCCAGTCATCAGCTCTCCTACAGCCCTTTCACAACATGCTATCCTGTCTGTTAGAGCTCTTCCGGAGGTACTGTGCCAGCTGGCCTCCTAGCAAGCGAACACAGAAGTTTTAATAGTGAGGTCTTTCAGTATCGATCTCCTGCCAGTCCCTGGACTAACCAGGGCTCTGGTCATTTAATCAGTGCTCAGACCCAAGCTGTAAGACGTTTATTACACCAAAGGCTCCGAGCAAGAAGTGACCCAGAAAATGGCAATAAAGTCATCTGACCTTAAAAGAAAGCTCTGCATTTGTTCGTGGTGCTTGTACTTGCTTTCATTAGGCACTTACATCTCCTTCGGCGTGACAGCCATTCGAGCTCGGACCATATCCAAGGGGTAGGTTAACATGGCAGCCGTTGTGCCTGCCAGAGAGCCAGCAATGAATCGAGGAAAGGGTGTCAGCGCTCTAAAGTAAGGTGAGAGAAGAGACCAAACAGATCACCTGGAGATGGAAATACTACATGCTTCTGAGCATGGCTCTACTCTGTCAGCTACTGAATCCCTTCCCTGCCTGTGCACTGAAGAGAGTTGGGGGGCGGGGGGGTGGGTGAAACAGTTGTGGTTTGCCACAACTATTCAAGTCAGAGGCTTCGAGAAAAATCTCTGTGGAGGACAGCTAGCCTGACTGGGGTGTCTCAGATACTACATGCCCAAGAGCAAGAGGCTCAGGCCACAGGCACAGAGGATAAAGGCTCAGATATCAGTGCAAGGTTGGATCTTGTTGCTCCTCTTGCAAAGAAAAGCTTTGTTTTGCCTGCCCACTCTCAGCACAGGGAAGTGCTAACTCACTGTCTAGGCCACTTCTTGCTCACGCCTCCAGAAGATAAGGTCTTCTCATAAAGATTTCCCCCGTCCAAGACTGGAAGCTCAGCCCATTGCTCAGCCCCTCACACACCTTGTTCTGGAAAACCACCACAAGAGGGGCCCGCACAGCTCTGTGCCAACAGAGCTTTCAACTCAGCAGAAAGCCTACACAACGCAAAGAAACGTGCTCCTTCCCTGCAGTCTAGAGTCCCACAAACTGTTCCATCCTCCTCTGCTATCACGAGGACCAAAGCCATGCTGCATCTTACTTTCCCTGGAAGCCGTAGTAACTCCCCAGGAGCTGCTTGTACTCTTCGTGTGCACAGAACTGAATGGCAGCATAAGGGATCACACGGACCATGGTGGCCGAGTTCCCTCGCCAGAGACTCCAGAAGCCTTCATTGAGGTAGGTGCGATAAATCAGCCTGTAGGCTTCCTGCAGGCAAAGGATCAAAGGTCAGACAGGGAGATCATGATAAGAGGGAGAAAAAACAATGGGGGGGGGAGGGGGAAGGTGACCCAGTAGCTTAACCTCTCCCACTCCTTCCCACCCTACCTACAGCAAGCTGATATCAGATGCTTATGCTCACACCCCTGGCTCCAGAATAAGACAACTAAAATGACTTCTTTGGGGAGACTGAATCAGATACATTAGAGCAAAAAAGAACCAGAGTCAGGAAGATGGAGCTTTACATTCAAGACAGTATCTTCATTTTCTTTCTGAGGGTAAGGCACAGAGCTGGACTGATATTTGCACAAACCACTTCTCAACCCAAATTAATCTTCTTAGTATAAGACAGAAACATTTGGATTACACACATTAGCACAGCACACATGGAGCATCCACAATGCACACGCAACAACACATTCAGCAAGCCACGCTAGCGATCAGCTCCCAAACTCAGATTCCCTATAAACTCTGCAACAGCTCTAATGGTGGTTGGGGGAAAGCAAGCAACCACTAGGGAAGAAGGCTGAGCAAAACAGCCCAGAGTGATGCCACAACATTTACTGTCCATGTCACAGGTGGAACCTGGAGCATGAATGAGGATCGAGGCTCCTCTATGCTAGGTGCTCAACAAACATGTGGAAAAGAAAGAGCACTGTCCTAAGGAGCGCTAAAAACAGTACTTCTTCCAGTCTTTCCCTCTATGCTCTTTCACTCTGAGTGCCACTAGTAACACTCAAGCGAGAAAGTTCAATACAAACAGAGGATGCTTTTAGTACTATTACTACCATTAATCAAACATGTTAGGTCAATAGGAGACAGACACATCACCTCACCTTGGCAGAAAATCTTTTTGAAGACACTAAAAAGAAAAAGCGAGCGTTAAGTCTTGCAATACATTTAGATGGATCAAAGAAACCATACAAGCATTCTTATCTAAGGAATAAAAATAGAAGCAAAAGAATTAGCGCAAGAAAAAAATAGAGCTTCTTTACAACAAAGATTTTACCACAGGTAGGAGTTTCCAAACTCTCTTTAGCAGATGAGAAGTTCATTTCTCTCTATCTATTGCTATGAAAATGCTTCAGCCTCTGTCACGCTTCTTGCTCTGAAGCGCTTAAAAAAAAGCTTATTTTAGTAGAGCGCTTCCATGCACCGGTTCCAGGCTAATGCCAGAATCCAGCAAAGAGCAGGACTGTTTAGGGAGGCTCCGCGCAAGGGTGGTTTCATCCTAACAAAACTCAAAGGAGCACTCAATTTCTTTCCTTGCATCCATTCAAATTGACAGCATCGCTTTAACTATGTAACACACACAGCATTTGGAAGCAAAATTTATTTGGCAAAGGGCAACTGCGTGTTGTAACATTTCTATCACAGGAAGGAAACCCAGGCTAAAACCCGAATGGCAACACTAATGAAACATGGTTCCAATTAAGTGTCTATTGCACTTTCTTTCAAATTCCTTTGAGACTTGTAACCTCTCAAGTGTATCAAACAATCACATGCAAATACAGTTTTCACCACGCTGCTCCTTTATGCAATTCAACTTTTTTTTTTTTTTTAAACTAACACCACCTCAATAACCAATTGCAGCTAGCTGTGCAATGGAAAAGAGCTCTTTTCCCTTCATCCCACAGGAAACCTCTTCAGTCGCTAGTTCACAGAACAACCCTCCTTGCTCGCATGACCCAGGGAAGCTGTCCCTCTACACAAACAGGGAAGCCACCCTAGAGTAAAAACCTTTAGGAGAGCAAGAGAGTAGGAAACTCATTAGATACCAAGACGCTGATCAGAACAGGCAATTTTTAATCATATACTTTGCAGTGAGTTCGACATGACAAACCAACAGGATTTTTTTAAAAATGTAGGCCTGTACAAATTAACTGTGATTTATATGGACAGCTGTTGACTCACCCCAATTCTGCAGTTTCCATCTCTCCTCTGATCCTGACATTTCCAACCTTAAATGAACTACACTGTTTGTTCGGGTGAGAAAGCACAGCACGTACTCGCTGCTGCCCAAGCATCTGGTCACAGCCTGCAATCCCAGCCTGCAGCCACCCCCGGCCCGAACTCCCTACAGCTTGAACTCCCTGATCTGTGTCCCTGCTATCCCCGTTATGCAGGGGATGAGAATCACGTCACATGAAAGTCAACTTAAAATTAAATCTCAGCCAGGGATTAGATTAAACCTACCCAATTCATTTAATCTGGGACGTCAGCCACATTTGAAATCGTGGCCTCGCCAAATGTCTACTGTTTTAACAGCCTGCACCCTTCCCTTTGGGACAATTAATGCAATTGACAGTTCTTGCTCTGAAACAAGAGAACTGAACTGAGCCCAGGCTGGGGCCAAATCCCAAACCCCGTTAAATGCATGAGGATTTTCTATTCAAATCAGCTGAACTTCCTTTCCAGTTCTACACTTTTAGTTTATGGCTTCCAGAAAGGATTTTGTAATACAAAGCTAGGTATGCCAGCTTCATTGTCTCTTGCAGCAGTTTTTATAATTAATTTCAATTCTAAACCAAAGCAATTCAGCTCAAATACAATTCAGCTCTTGCTAGAAAAGACTGTGTATATTTGAGCAAGCACATCCTGGCATCCCAGAAACTCAAAAATCTCAATTCCCTCCTTCCAGTTTCATCACATCTCCTTATATTCCTCCTCTACAGAGGAAGGAAATTGTGCAGCTTTTCCCTCCTTGCCATATTTCTCCAAACTGAACAGACACAGAAATCCAAAGCGTTACCATTCACCTCCTTAAGTGTAGCCTTCACAGTGTCTTTTTGCTGTGCACTCCAAAACGCTCCCTTATGTCAGAGAACGCATGTGGCCAGCCAATGCTCACGAGCCACAATCATCTGCCTGTAAGCAGCCAAAAACGCAACTGCATTACAGTGAAATAGCAAAGCTCTTGCTGACTACCATGGGAGTTGGATTCCATAGCATGGGCCAAATACACAGCTGATTGACACCTGCAATAATCCTACCAAGAAACAAACAGTAGGTTTTTAGATTCAATTCATTGTGGCAACATCACTGTTCTGCCTGCACCATGCCAGGTCTCTGCAGGTTGAAGGAGGGCAGAGCACTGGAGACCAGGCTGGCTGAACAGATTAGAGAAGCTGGTCTGGACTCTGCTAACAATAAAGTAAGGCTACTTCGCAAAAGCCAGCAGGACTTACCTTGAAACATGATTTTCGTCCTATCCAGTGGAGCTACTGCTGTTTTAGCAACAGCACCGGCCAATGCACCAGACATCAGAGAATTGAGTACTTTCTTTTTCTCCTGTGTTCCCTGGAACAAAGCATTGTTCAGCGTGACACAGTCAGCCCTAACTGAAAGTTGTAATATTTTACCTTTCCTGTAGCATTTATCCCAGTCCAAGGACTTGCGTCAGCCAAACCCACGTGTGAGCATCCGTGCTGTCCTGCAACCTAAGCCATGCCTGCAAACACAGCTCCATGAGACAGCAAACTGATCACCTGCTCCCATTTCTTGGGGTACAGTGCAGTATCTCAGTGCTGCATTACTCTGAGCTGTTTTGTTATGTCTTCTGCAAGAACTTCTCTGTCCTTCCCAGCCCTGTACAGAAACGTTCTCTATCTGCTAACACAATAAGTTAAAGTGCTTTTGGCTCTTCCTGTGCTCTGCTTCTGTCCATCAAATGGTGCCAAGGCACAGCTCTACTGAAAAATTATGTTTCAGCTGGCTTTTCTACAACACTCACACCAACAGCAGCAGAAAGTAGCCTAAACAACCTAAGAAAATGCCAGTATCACTATTTGTGATCTAAACCATTTACGAAACGGGGTTTCTAGCACTGCAGAGAAAAGTGCAAAAAAAATACTTGCAAGCGGAATCTGAAAACACCTTGAGGGATTGTTAGTATATGAATACTGAAAAACAAATTACAAAGTAACAACATTACAGCCCACATTAAAATGAAACCTAAACATTAACCCATACCAGAGCATACAAACAAAGATAAGAAACAACGTGTATGCACAGAAGAATTGGACTACACCCAAAAAAAGTCTTCTGAACACTCAGCTAGAGTTGTCTCCTCCCTCTTCTGAGGGAACTACAATATGCTTTAGGGATCTTGCTTTAGCTTCCCTTCAACGTATGTGAAACAGCAAATGGCTGTTTTCAGATACTCAGTTTCTCTGACAAAATTCCTTTGTGAAAGACTTAAACAGCTAAAAATCAATGCCAGGATTTTGGAAATGTCAACATTCCCTCCAAAATGGCAAATTCCAAGCACAGTAGATTACAGGTCAGATCACAAAGAACAAAGATTAGACTTGTCTGCCAAGATATGAAACTCCAAAGTCAGCTACCTCTTACATGCACTGTTTCCTTCCTATTAACATTTCTAAAAGTTAGCTCACTATCTCATATTGATTTAGCCACGTACAGAAGGTAAATTTCTTTCTTGCCCTTCTAGTTAACACACGAACCTGATTTCTATGTTGTCCCCAAGATCCTAAGAATACAACAAGACAGGTTTCCCACTACGATAAACGGAATGGAAGTGTTTTTGTTATTGACATTCCTGCCACGGCTCTTATTTATAAACCAGCTATCTTCTTGTAACACACAGGCAGAAAGCAAATAAAAAACTTGAAATCTAACACCATGGAGGTTATGAATCAAAAGACAAGTCAAGACAAGACAAGGCTTAAAAATGCTAACTGTTGATATGCTTTGTGTTTTCAAGGATAAGACAAGTGAGTTAACATTTTTCTTTTCTCACACTGTTTCACAGCTAAAAAGTTAAGTTTGTTTATGAAAAACTCTGTTCAGTTCAATTTTCTCTTCCAGTCTCTGGTGCTAAATGAAGGGCTGCTATGCACCAGGGTTCAGGCAGCACTGTCTGAATTTCAGCCTGAGTTTTGGCCCCACACCTCCAGTGAAGCATTTCAGCTGAGCAGAAACCCTGACCTAAGTCAGAGCAAGGTTCAGTGTTGCTTTCTCTTTCAGTGTTTCTAAGAGGAGCCTTGTAACAGCAGTGAGAGCAGGGAAACCGAGACTCGTGGCTCTGTTCCCAGCTCTGCCAGTAAAGACGTTACAAGATGTAACCTTGAACAAGGAACGTAGCCCTGCCTGCCCGTTAAGTGTGAGCTATGTGCAGCCTCTTCCCAGAGAGCCCAAATTGCTCAGCAGGCCTCAGAGGAAGCAACGGCCACACAGTACATGGTTTGCACATACGCGGCAGCTCATCTGGGACTCCACAGCTCATATCCCGTTTAGATGCTTCTTTCGTGGAGTAGTCGCCCAGCTCTCCTCTCAAGCCCACTGCACATACCCAGCCACCTCCTGCTCTTACCTCTGATGGAAGATGAGTTGATATAATTGGCTCCACATCCTGCTGTTTGAAATCCACTTGACCTTCTCTCACACCATTACCCATACCAGTTGCACTTACAAGCGGGCAGAAGAGTCACGGCTCCTAAATTGAAAACACGAGTAAAGCAAGAGTTAGTGTCAAAAGTAGTGAATATCCAGGTCATAAAAAGTTGAACAGGAGGGAAGAGACACCTACTCCAGAGGCCATTTCAATAGGAAAACCCCTATCCCAAGCACCCAGTGGAAGAGCATTTCCAGAATCTAATGCCATGTCGTCCCTTTGGGGTACAAGTTTGGCGGGAGGCAAAAGGAGGGGCGCTTCGGTGCTATCTAAAATGTGTGTCACTGATCATCATCCTTTTCTACCCCCCAAGGAACTCAGCTGCAAGTCGTATTAGCCCTAGCAGGGAGGCTGAAAGAGCAGCCCACTGCATCTCTCCCTAGCACGGACTTCCATTGCAGATATGACATTTAAACATCCATCACTTACAGTGAGGATCCCAGTTGCTACTCAGTCTGACTGCTCAGTGTTTAGATATGGGAGAAGACGTGCAGAAATTTAAAACCCAGGCATGGAAAATGGAAAAAATAGTCCCAGCAGTACCTCCAGGAAGCTTGGCATAAGCAATTGCAGGTTATTTTAGGAAACAGATAGATCCAATGCCTCACACGTGCCATAAAGGCTATTTCGATGATGCTTGCAATTTGACTAAAAGCAGCACATCATTGACTACAGAACTTCATTTCTCCACAGTTGCAGTGCACATGTGCTTGTCGCTAGTGAATCAGCGCTGTTTGCACAGATGTTTCTTGCTGTGATATATGCTCTCATTTGCCTTGTGAAAGGAAAGGTCAGTCTAACCTTAGCTACAGAGTATAAGCGCAGAGATAACACTTAAGTAGAAGCTACCATTTTGGCACCTAACTTTCTAATATTCCTGCTTTTATGATTTGAGTTTTTCATCCTCTAATATCCAAAAAATGGAAGTGTGAAAGTCTGAAAAACTTGAGCAAGTATAAAAAGGAAGCATCTCCAAGCAAGTAGATTGTTTTGAACCTATTCACAAACGGGGTATAATTATAACAATCAGTTTTCTAAGCAACAAGACAGCTCAAATAGTCAAAGTTTGCCATTTCATTAGCCTCCTTTCAAGGAAGGTGATATTAGGAAATCTGAATTCCTGAATTGCTCCCCAGGTCTGCCACAGTCTTCCTGCATGTCCTCAAGCAAGATGCTTCATCTCTGCCCCCATCTGATGCCTAGGAAACCTGAGGCACAACAGTTTGCTTACTTGGAAAGGACTTCTTAAGACTTTTTCTATTTCTTCTTAACAATCTCTAGATGTTACATGCTTGTCAGCACCTTTCATACTTGCTGACCTATTTTTTTTCCACATCACTCTCATAAATTAGTGCCAGACTTCACTTTCAAAACCTCTTGGTTGCAGCAGAGATATTAACGCAAAGCCAGAGACAGATCAGCTTTGTCTGTATTCGTGCATGACCAATTTGCGATGATGAAGCTATGCATGACCCACGCGCTCACTTCAAGGGAGGACAAACATGCCTGGGTATCTTTAATGCCAGGCATCACTTGCTAGAGCTCTGGGAAGACACATATCAACGTGTTTACAACTCCTGAGGGTGTTTTTGAAGAGAAAAGGATGTTGCTCAGAGGGTAATAACTCAAAATTTTAATGAAATACAACATCTGAGAGTCCAAAGCATGACCTGAACAGCAAACAGTACCATTGTTTGTACTTAAAAAGTTCTATAATGGGAGCTTGGTCACATTGGACCATGCAAACTAAAATTCCCACGAGGATCAAGACTCAAGACAATTCGTAACGCTCTGGAGCGGAGCACTTCATTATATTGTTCTGGGGAACGCAGTCTATTAATTATTTCTAATTACTATCTTCAGTCACTTCCTTTCCTTCTCATCTCACATACCGGAAAATTTTATCATTAAAAAAAAAAAAAACTTTAAGCAAAAGCACAAAAGAAATGGTGGAAATATTATCCCTAGCTATCTCAATTAAAGAAATGTAGGTCACAATATCAGATTCATCTCTGCTGAAAATAAAATCACAAAAATAGAAGTCATGCTGAAGAGCTTAGGAATGCAACACACAACTTGGCTTTCAAATATGATTTTGAAACATGATTGAGAAAAAGATGACTATAATGAAACTAGTCCGGAAATTTTAAATACTAAAACCATGTTATTAAGCCCAGACTTATTTTAGAATATGCATCTGCATAAAGATGATACCCACTTACTTAACAATATTCTCTTTGATCCTATTCAGAGATGTTCTTTTATTTTTAGTGCCCTGATTTTAGGGCCCTGATCTTGCAAACACCTGTCTGTATGCTTAATTTTGTACATTAAAACTGCCCGCGTGCTCTACATAAACACAGGCCTGAACTTGCAGAGGCTTAAACATAAAAGTAGCATTTAGTATTCTTATTCACATTTGCTCTCTGCAAAGCAATACAGCTATATTTTATTTTGGATCTGTGTTGAATCCTGACTTAGCTAAATTATTGACTTCTGGCCATTATGACCAATGATGCACATGGGAACCACAGAGAATAAAGTTTTGCTTGGAAGTTTCCGTGTGAATTTGTAGGCCTGGCCATTAGAAACCAAACATTATTTTGCATATTCATCAATCCGATTTGTTCATGAAGCCATCCACAGAAACCCAACCTCGAGCAGCTTGACATTTTTTCAAATCCTTGTATTTTGACAGCCCCATACACAGTCATTACTTACATTTAAGAAGCCATAGTAAACAGGAAAACAAAATAGACAGCTACAAATTAGATTTACTCTTTATAATGCATTTCTGTGTTACTTAAATTGTAGCTACCTGAGTCTTACCATACATCTGGATCCAGACTCCTCGGGACTATATGCCATACAGCTGTAGAGCAAAACATTCTCAGTCTAGGAGACTATATAATCAGAAAGCAAAACTTCTGGTCCAGATGGGCTCAAAGTTAAGCATGTTTAATGAGTAACATACACTATGCTTTTACAACAAAATCCCTTGTAGCTGATTGAAAGTACAAAGCAATCAGTTATTCCAGCAACCAGCTTCAACTCTTTAAAAAACCCTGCCTGTATCTCTGTCGCGCTAATTCAGAGTCTTGTGATTCAAGCTTATTTACCAAACTGCGAAACAGGGCAGCTCAGGCCCTCCCTTCTGGCAGTGGCATCTTAGACTAACTCTGATGAACTTAGCTGCGGTGTTCTCTTTTGTGAGGAGGTGTCTCCTTTGAGCCCTGGGTTTCCTGCCCATGCTCTAGTAATTGCAGAAACAGCTGTGGGCTAAAACAAGTTCCATTCCCCATATATCTCTGGGCGCACAGGATATGCTCTGCGCATTAAAAACTAGAGCGCTGTTAGTCTTTCCTGTCCATTCTCCCAGCTCTCTCTAGCGGCGCTTAATGAATACCTGAACAAGTTCAATCAAGCTGTCAAATTGACTCTCTGACAAGTTAGAGGTTCTGCTTTTCTTGGTGGTGGTTTTGATTAAAAGGACAGCTCAGACAGAATCAAGTTATTCAGATGATAAAAGCAACCAGCCTACTAGAAAGAATGTCTTGTAGGCAGGTACTAGTTCATTGCCCAAAGGCAGTGGGGGGAAGACTAGCTCTCCAAGCCAGTTGTGAACCCAATCATGAAGCAATTCTGGCCATGTGATCATATTTTAAATTACACAGTCTTAATACAATTAATTTCTCAGTCAAAGAACCAAAGACCAACATCACAACTAAGGGATAAAGCCAAATTATCTGGTTATGGTATTTAAAACTAAAATCACACTGCTAAAGTAAAGGTTTGCAGATTATTATACATTTCCTATTTAACAGATTTTGCAATTAAACCTACAACCTCCATGAAATCCCTCCTGAATGCATTTGGCCAGGTAGCAAAGTTCATTCCCATTGCAGACCAAGGCTCCGACTTCCAGGAACGGCACACAAGAGGGAAGCAGTAGAGCTGGTTTCCTCCTGGTTATATTTGCACAAAACTCGCAACTGATAGGGGAGGAACCCACGCTGCCTGTCCTCTCCACCACTTCAAACATCACAACTGCTCCCAAGCTGCCAACAGCCTTGGCAAAGCTTGACCTACCTGTTAGCAGCAAAACACCTAACCTACAAAAGCGGACCCAGTCGTGACGGTTTTCACATTACTACGTAGTCAGAAAGCAGCAGCAGCCTGGGCATCCAGCCTGGAGACTGACTTGCAACATGTCACTGTTGAAAAACACGCTTGCCTGATATTCCCTAGTGGAATTCAGACCTGTCACAAAACACTAAGATTTTGGAAAGAACATCATCTATCCAGCAAGGACAGGACAGATACTGCAAAGCAAACAGTCAGCACCATGAGCTATCTGAATGCCAATGGCAGCTATTTTCTAAGAAATATTTGCCTTCTCCTTGGACAACCCTGGTAGCAATTATAAAGTAGTTCAGAGCCTTGGATGTGGGACAGCCACGACAGACAGGTAATGGCAAAACCACATAGCTTCAGCAGGCAAGAGCTGCTATGACTTTATGCCATGTGCAATGCACCGTTTTAGTGAGATAGGCAGAAGAAACTTAGCCCTGCTACCTGCTTCTCTTTAATAATCACCAAAATGAGGATGCTTAACTGCTCCTGAGGAGACAAGACAAGGAGTATGCAGCAGCTTGCACTGTTTTCATTCAATAATTGGGAGTTGTGAGTAGGAAGCTTCGGTGATGATGGAAGATTGCTGCAGCCCTGGCAGCAATTTCCTTCCACTAAAATGTGAATTGTAAAATGGTATTTCAATAGCAATCATATCCACATGATTTTCAGCCTGGAGCCCTTCACAAGTTTACCAGGACAGAGCGCAACAACCATTCCAGAAACAGAGCTACAAAAAGCACGGACTAAACAATGATATACAAAAACAATAGACGGATGCTGTATTAAATCAAAGCTGCAGATGAATTAAAGATGAGGGACTTACTGAATGAAGACAGTATATTTAGATTTTTGCTTGCTTATCCTTTTAAAGATCTAATAATTCTAGTTTGAGTGGCAAGATTTCTGTTTTGCCTCTCATATACAGACATTTAAATATCTCTTACATGGATTTTCACAGATTACAACATTCTCAAGAAGGAAAGCACAGATTATTGTGGACTGTACAGCACCTATCACACTTAAGAGATCGTAGACACTACTGTTGCATGAACTTTGATGAAGTCGTAGTTCACCTTTGGGACACCATTTCAATTTCATACAGGTAAAATTACTTGCATAGCTCCATTCAGATGTGACAGCTTCCTTCATTATTCAATAGCTATCTAGTTCCTGTTTGTTCTTTTTAAAAATACACTGTTAACAGCACTAACGAAAGCATATAATTAAATTAGGAAAAACAAAAACTGAAAGAGTTCCCACAGAAATTTTCACACATTTTCCCAGGCAGGCTGAAGTTAAACGGTGCCCAGGGAAAGTGCTCAATTACGTTTCCTTCAATTGTTAAACCGAGCGACTGAGTCTGACAGAGAAAGAGATTTGGTAAGAGCTGAGATTACTGCAGCCTTAAATTCACCCTTGGAGCAAAAGCATCATAGAAAAATCACAGAAAAAAGGGCTGAGAGACTCAGAACAGGGGGGTGAGCTACATAACTAGATGGCCCCTTGAGGTCTGTCCTTGCCTTCCAGTTTGATTAAGCTATTAAAAAACAAAAAGCAGATATGCCCTGCAGACTCAGCTCTCTTCAGTCACATTCATCTTTCAGATGCATACAAATTTCATCCCAAAACATTAGCTATGAATAGTCCATAGCACTACTTCCTTCTAAAGGTCTGCACAGAAACTGTCGGCCTAATTGTAAAGAATCATTGACAGCTTAATTAAAAGATTCACTAAATGACGCTATCTGGAGGAGTTTAATTTTCTATATGCTTTTTTAGCTTCAAAGCACAAGATAAACATTCCTCCTGCCTCACTCAGCCAGAGACCAACTCAGGTCTGCCAGTAAAACCGAGGATAAAGATACAAATTCTTTGCACGGTTTTAGATTATCTGACTTGAATTAAGCCAGTTGCCAAAGACTGAGAAATGGTTATATCTAAAAGCCCTGCTAACAAAGCCAGCAGTATTATTCAGAGGAGCCCAGGAGAGTCGCATTTGGAACTAAGCTTGGAATGCATGAGCCCCAGACCAGAGGAAATCTTGGCAAGAGAAAAACAGCACTTCATTCTTTAGTTTCTAAAAGAGTGTTGCTGGGAGCACCTCCACAATGCTTCCAACAGGCAAAAACTGAAGACCAGTTCTTATCTGCAAGACAGACAGCTTTATCTGAGAGGGAGTGGAACAGCTAAGCAAAAAGACAGAGTTACAGAGTCCCTCTGCTGAAGCCGCTCTGTTCGTCAGCCTGCGATCACCTCCCTCCAAAAGGGAAGGCAAAAAAAAAAGCAAGTGCCTTCCCAGTTTGAATCCTTCTCTCAACAGTTATTTCTCCCAGAGGTACGGACACAAGGAAGTGACACTCAGTAAAATGTTATGTGCAACCTCTCAATCAACAAACCTCATGTAGGCCCACACAAATACAAGCTTTCCTATCAGTAGATTTTAAGCCTATTCACCTTAACGTCACCCTAGGCATACAGGAGGTCACCGAGTGATAGAAGGACCCCAGTGCTGAGGGAATTTTTCAACTCAAATCGAGATTATTTGGAATGCAAGCAACTCCCAGTCAATACCTGTGCAATCCTGGCCAAGAATTATTTCAACATAGTAATGGATTACAACCTCTAACCTAAAACAAAATAAAACAAAATAAAAACCACAGTATTTTAGAATGCCATGCTTTTCCACACTGCATATATGGAATATTTTGAATGCTAGAGTGTGAGTTAGTCACCTCCCATCTGTTGTACTCACTGCATCCTATATTGCACAAATGCTAAATGCAAAAGTTAAGCATCAATTCTGCTAGGCCAGAGCATTGCAGACAACCCTTACAGTAACTCAGGCCTAGCAGAACTAATGCATGGCACAGATACACCTTCATTATTAATTGCTGTGTACAGCAGCAAGGACTAGCAGATTAAAAGCAGGACTAGAGACCAAAGAGCTCCTGAATTCTAACCCTACTCCAACACTGATTTATTTGGTGACCTCAAGTAAGTTGTTTGCATTTCAGTTCACCCTTCCACACAACTGAAAAAATAATCGCCCTTCCCCAGGCAGCTACCAAGAATATTTATGCATCACTTTGAAAATGGAAAACAGCACTACATGTTAAGTATTTGCAGCAGTTTCAGTTTCTTACCTTGTAAGAAAGGCACAAACCTAAATGCATCTTACTACAATTAACAGAAAAGTTACAAGAAAAAAATATTTCCAGTTCCTGAGCTTTTTTTCTAACAGCAAACCTGTCTGACCTGTACCAAGCCCATCTGCTTCAACAGCTGACACCACGCTCAAGGCTGCATTGGTGCTCACCTTACGTTTCTTGTAAACTCTTCACATTAAGGTCAACGCACCAAACATGCCTGAAACATCCATCTTCAGTTGGGACTGCCTAAGCCAATGTACTAACTACAGCTGCAGGTCAAGCAAAAAGAGATTATTGTAGCTTCTGACTCACACTGCTGCGCTATCAAAAGAGCTGTAAAGCAAAGTTTCCTCTGCCTGAGGCAATCATTGGGGCTGGAGAGTTCCCGCTGAAATCCAACACCAAGGACGGTCCAAGTCCTCCCCTTCAGAGCAGCTCTCCCCAAGACCAGTGTTCAGAGGTCTTAACTTTGATTTGCTGGGGGGGAAAGAGAAAAAGCGTCAAGTATCCACAGCTCCAGTGGGATGTGAAGATGCTCAAAGTTTCCCAGAATTCAGCCCTGATATTTTGGACACCCAGTCATAAGATTATTTTTACATATATTCACTCACAGGTTGTTAGTGTGATTATACCAACCCTCTGGCACCCTTATTATATCGTTTCTTTTCCCTCAGCTGTTTTGCAACACCCACGGACATCTCTTCTATCCCTTTACAAACATACCCTTCTCCCAAGCTAGGGCCATTTAAAAAACAGAATGTTTTCAAAACACTCTAAATTCATCAAACCACAAAAAAAAAAAAAACAACCTCAAGGGCATTTAACCTCCAGAAAAAGCCTTGCTGTTAAAGTTAATGTGACCATGAAGCATAAGAACGCAACAAAAAAAGTCCAAGTGACAGTGGACTCCAAACCCCATGCTACGCAGTGAGCTAAATTAACAGCCAACAGGAAAAAGAGAGTCAACAAACAGAAACACATCTTTAACTCCTCCAGACTTCATGGGAGAGCAGCTTTAAGGTCAACAAAATAACCGCTACACTTTGGGCACAGTGAGTTACACGTTCGCATGCAGCAGGAAGAGGGGAAAAGCATTTATTAATGCTATACGATCACTTCTAACATTTCCCATGTATCTTTGGTCTTCAAATTTAAAGCCAACCTGAGACACTTCTTCTTTCTCCATATTTTAAGGTAGAGCCAGGAAAGCTGCCCCTGCTCAGTAACTTTTCACTTACGCTGGACTAAGATAGAAAGAGACATTAAGACATCAGTATTTAACATCTTCCAAGCCCTTGTGTATCTATCCCTCAGCAGAGGCACGCAAGCTCACGTCATTTGCAGGTTCACATCAACTTAAAATAAAACGAAATCATAGTATGTATCTGAGTACACATCTGGAGACACACGGCCCCCAGAACGTGGCTCTGCTCAAAAGGCTTTGAATGGAAGAGGAGGCCGCGTGCTTGACAACCACGTTGACCCCAAGGAGTGGGGTGGGCAGGCAAGGCAGCAGGCTGGCAGGTAGGGAGAGGGCAGGCAGGTGAGGTGGGGGGCAGGCAAGCCATGGGGCAGGCAGCCCAGCAACAGGCTGGCAGGGCAGGCAGTGGGGTGGGCAGGCAGGCTGAGCAGGGCAGGCAGGCAAGGGAGGAGGCTCTAGGGCGGGCAGGCTGCCTGGGACAGGCAGTGGGGCAGGCAGGGCAGGCAGGCAAAGGGGGAGGCACT